GGTACTGGGGACCTATTCTGTCCTGTAATCCCCTCTGGGAGATAAGCATGAGGTACTGGGGACCTATTCTGTCCTGTAATCCCCACTGGGAGACAAGCATGAGGTACTGGGGACCTATTCTGTCCTGTAATCCCCACTGGGAGACAAGCATGAGGTACTGGGGACCTATTCTGTCCTGTAATCCCCACTGGGAGACAAGCATGAGGTACTGGGGACCTATTCTGTCCTGTAATCCCCACTGGGAGACAAGCATGGGGTACTGGGGACCTATTCTGTCCTGTAATCCCCACTGGGAGACAAGCATGAGGTACTGGGGACCTATTCTGTCCTGTAATCCCCACTGGGAGACAAGCATGAGGTACTGGGGACCTATTCTGTCCTGTAATCCCCACTGGGAGACAAGCATGAGGTACTGGGGACCTATTCTGTCCTGTAATCCCAAATGGGAGACAAGCATGAGGTTCTTGGGACCTATTCTGTCCTGTAATCCCAAATGGGAGACAAGCATGAGGTACTGGGGACCTATTCTGTCCTGTAATCCCCACTGGGAGACAAGCATGAGGTACTGGGGACCTATTCTGTCCTGTAATCCCCACTGGGAGACAAGCATGAGGTACTGGGGACCTATTCTGTCCCGTAATCCCAAATGGGAGACAAGCATGAGGTTCTTGGGACCTATTCTGTCCTGTAATCCCCACTGAGAGATAAGCATGAGGTACTGGGGACCTATTCTGTCCTGTAATCCCCACTGGGAGACAAGCATGAGGTACTGGGGACCTATTCTGTCCTGTAATCCCCACTGGGAGACAAGCATGAGGTACTGGGGACCTATTCTGTCCTGTAATACCCACTGGGAGACAAGCATGAGGTACTGGGGACCTATTCTGTCCTGTAATCCCCACTGGGAGACAAGCATGAGGTACTGGGGACCTATTCTGTCCTGTAATCCCCACTGGGAGACAAGCATGAGGTACTGGGGACCTATTCTGTCCTGTAATCCCCACTGGGAGACAAGAATGGGGTACTGGGGACCTATTCTGTCCTGTGATTTCCACAGGGAGACAAGCATGAGGTACTGGGGACCTTTTCTGTCCTGTAATCTCCACAGGGAGACAAGCATGAGGTACTGGGGACCTCTTCTGTCCTGTAATCTCCACTGGGAGACAAGCATGAGGTACTGGGGACCTATTCTGTCCTGTAATCCCCAATGGGAGACAAGCATGAGGTACTGGGGACCTATTCTGTCCTGCAATACCCACTGGGAGACAAGCATGGGGTACTGGGGACCTATTCTGTCCTGTAATCCCCAATGGGAGACAAGCATGAGGTACTGGGGACCTATTCTGTCCTGTAATCCCCACTGGGAGACAAGCATGAGGTACTGGGGACCTATTCTGTCCTGTGATTTCTGCAGGTAGACAAGCATGGGGTACTGGGGACCTATTCTGTCCTGTGATTTCTGCAGGTAGACAAGCATGAGGTACTGGGGACCTATTCTGTCCTGTAATCCCCAATGGGAGACAAGCATACGGTACTGGGGACCTCTTCTGTCCTGTAATCTCCACTGGGAGACAAGCATGAGGTACTGGGGACCTATTCTGTCCTGTAATCCCCACTGGGAGATAAGCATACGGTACTGGGGACCTCTTCTGTCCTGTAATCTCCACTGGGAGACAAGCATGAGGTACTGGGGACCTATTCTGTCCTGTAATCCCAACTGGGAGACAAGCATGAGGTACTGGGGACCTATTCTGTCCTTTAATCCCAAATGGGAGACAAGCATGAGGTACTGGGGACCTATTCTGTCCCGTAATCCCAAATGGGAGACAAGCATGAGGTACTGGGGACCTATTCTCTCCTGTAATCCCAAATGGGAGACAAGCATGAGGTACTGGGGACCTATTCTGTCCTGTAATCCCCACTAAGAGATAAGCATGAGGTACTGGGGACCTATTCTGTCCTGTAATCCCAAATGGGAGACAAGCATGAGGTACTGGGGACCTATTCTGTCCTGTAATCCCAAATGGGAGACAAGCATGAGGTACTGGGGACCTATTCTGTCCTGTAATCCCAAATGGGAGACAAGCATGAGGTACTGGGGACCTATTCTGTCCTGTAATCCCCACTGAGAGACAAGCATGAGGTACTGGGGACCTATTCTGTCCTGTAATCCCCACTGGGAGACAAGCATGGGGTACTGGGGACCTATTCTGTCCTGTAATCCCCTCTGGGAGACAAGCATGAGGTACTTGGGACCTATTCTGTCCTGTAATCCCCACTGAGAGATAAGCATGAGGTACTGGGGACCTATTCTGTCCTGTAATCCCCACTGGGAGACAAGCATGAGGTACTGGGGACCTATTCTGTCCTGTAATCCCAACTGGGAGACAAGCATGGGGTACTGGGGACCTATTCTGTCCTGTAATCCCCACAGGGAGACAAGCATGAGGTACTGGGGACCTATTCTGTCCTGTAATCCCCACTGGGAGACAAGCATGAGGTACTGGGGACCTATTCTGTCCTGTAATCCCCACTGGGAGACAAGCATGAGGTACTGGGGACCTATTCTGTCCTGTAATCCCCACTGGGAGACAAGCATGAGGTACTGGGGACCTATTCTGTCCTGTAATCCCCACTGGGAGACAAGCATGAGGTACTGGGGACCTATTCTGTCCTGTAATCCCCACTGGGAGACAAGCATGAGGTACTGGGGACCTATTCTGTCCTGTAATCCCCACTGGGAGACAAGCATGGGGTACTGGGGACCTATTCTGTCCTGTAATCTCCACTGGGAGACAAGCATGAGGTACTGGGGACCTATTCTGTCCTGTAATCCCCACTGGGAGACAAGCATGAGGTACTGGGGACCTATTCTGTCCTGTAATCCCCACTGGGAGACAAGCATGAGGTACTGGGGACCTATTCTGTCCTGTGATTTCTACAGGGAGACAAGCATGAGGTACTGGGGACCTATTCTGTCCTGTAATCCCCACTGGGAGACAAGCATGAGGTACTGGGGATCTATTCTGTCCCGTAATCCCCACTGGGAGACAAGCATGGGGTACTGGGGACCTATTCTGTCCTGTAATCCCCACTGGGAGACAAGCATGAGGTACTGGGGACCTATTCTGTCCTGTAATCCCCACTGGGAAACAAGCATGAGGTACTGGGGACCTATTCTGTCCTGTAATCCCCACTGGGAGACAAGCATGGGGTACTGGGGACCTTTTCTGTCCTGTAATCCCCACTGGGAGACAAGCATGGGGTACTGGGGACCTATTCTGTCCTGTAATCCCCACTGGGAGACAAGCATGGGGTACTGGGGACCTTTTCTGTCCTGTGATTTCTGCAGGGAGACAAGCATGAGGTACTGGGGACCTATTCTGTCCTGTAATCCCCACTGGGAGACAAGCATGAGGTACTGGGGAACTTTTCTGTCCTGTAATCCCCACTGGGAAACAAGCATGAGGTACTGGGGACCTATTCTGTCCTGTAATCCCCACTGGGAGACAAGCATGGGGTACTGGGGACCTATTCTGTCCTGTAATCCCCACTGGGAGACAAGCATGAGGTACTGGGGACCTATTCTGTCCTGTAATCCCCACTGGGAGACAAGCATGGGGTACTGGGGACCTATTCTGTCCTGTAATCCCCACTGGGAGACAAGCATGAGTTACTGGGGACCTATTCTGTCCTGTAATCCCCACTGGGAGACAAGCATGAGGTACTGGGGACCTATTCTGTCCTGTAATCCCCACTGAGAGATAAGCATGAGGTACTGGGGACCTATTCTGTCCTGTAATCCCCACTGAGAGATAAGCATGAGGTACTGGGGACCTATTCTGTCCTGTAATCCCCACTGGGAGACAAGCATGAGGTACTGGGGACCTATTCTGTCCTGTAATCCCCACTGGGAGACAAGCATGAGGTACTGGGGACCTATTCTGTCCTGTGATTTCTACAGGGAGACAAGCATGAGGTACTGGGGACCTATTCTGTCCTGTAATCCCCACTGGGAGACAAGCATGAGGTACTGGGGACCTATTCTGTCCTGTAATCCCCACTGGGAGACAAGCATGAGGTACTGGGGACCTATTCTGTCCTGTAATCCCCACTGGGAGACAAGCATGAGGTACTGGGGACCTATTCTGTCCTGTGATTTCTACAGGGAGACAAGCATGAGGTACTGGGGACCTATTCTGTCCTGTAATCTCCACTGGGAGACAAGCATGAGGTACTGGGGACCTATTCTGTCCTGTAATCCCCACTGGGAGACAAGCATGAGGTACTGGGGACCTATTCTGTCCTGTAATCCCCACTGGGAGACAAGCATGAGGTACTGGGGACCTATTCTGTCCTGTAATCCCCACTGGGAGACAAGCATGGGGTACTGGGGACCTATTCTGTCCTGTAATCTCCACTGGGAGACAAGCATGAGGTACTGGGGACCTATTCTGTCCCGTAATCCCAAATGGGAGACAAGCATGAGGTACTGGGGACCTATTCTGTCCTGTAATCCCCACTGGGAGACAAGCATGAGGTACTGGGGACCTATTCTGTCCTGTAATCCCCACTGGGAGACAAGCATGAGGTACTGGGGACCTATTCTGTCCTGTAATCTCCACAGGGAGACAAGCATGAGGTACTGGGGACCTATTCTGTCCTGTAATCCCCACTGGGAGACAAGCATGAGGTACTGGGGACCTATTCTGTCCTGTAATCCCCACTGGGAGACAAGCATGAGGTACTGGGGACCTATTCTGTCCTGTAATCCCCACTGGGAGATAAGCATGAGGTACTGGGGACCTATTCTGTCCTGTAATCCCCACTGGGAGACAAGCATGAGGTACTGGGGACCTATTCTGTCCTGTAATCCCCACTGGGAGACAAGCATGAGGTACTGGGGACCTATTCTGTCCTGTATCATGTGTCTTTAACCTGGAATCCCCACGGAGCACACCACTTTACAGAAAGAGTGTTGTTACACATCTATCACTCACCAACTTGTTCTTCTAAGCTGCTCTGTGTTGCCCGTCGAAGGTTGACGGAGTCGTTGTATGTCTGACCAGATTGGCTGAAAGATTGAGAGTGACGTTGGTTGGTTGGTTTGTTTGTTGTATAACGCCGCACTCAGCAATATTCCAGCTATATGACCGCGGTCTGTAAATAATTGAGTCTGGACCAGACATTCCAGTAATATCATGAGCATCGATCCACGCAATTGGAATACAATGACATGCATCAACCAAGTCAGCAGGCCTGACCACCCGATCCCGTTAGTCGCCTCTTATGACAAGCATAGACGCCTTTTACGGCAATTTTGGGTTGCTGAAGACCTATTCTACCGGGATCTTTACGAGTCGACCTTGACGTAAATTCATCATACACTGTAAAAATTTGTAATTCAATCCCTCATGCGGATAAATACCAGGGTTAGATGCTCCCATAAGATGTTTATATGTGCCCCTTGGCTTATAAGTGTGCCAACAAGGCAGTCTCATTAAAATAAGATCTTAGTGCTCGCTACCGCTAAACAAAGATCTGAGGACATCCAATTACGGATCATGTCAGACCGACCTTTTGCGAACTTTGGCCGGCCAATGGTTTGACTGACAAGAAGTCGACATTAGCAATTCAGAAAGCTGCTTTCTCGTGCTTTATGGCACTAGTTTCAAACTAGAGACTACGCTTCAAACCATACTTTGACATTCTCGTTTAAAAATTTGCAAACTGAACAAGAGCTTTCTAGAATGGCTAATAGATGGCCTAGATTGTATGGATTCACTTTTATATCCCGTAACTGTCGTTCAGAATAACCCATGTTAAGTTGTTCAAGGTTTCATGAGAAAACACATTCTGACTGTCACTGTCATGATCTTGTAAGCCATGCTCTCATTGGTCGGATGAAAGGTCGTTCTGACATGACCCGTATGGGATGTCCTCAGATCATTTGTTTCGCGGTATCTAGAACTAAGATCAAGGCCCACTTGCACAAAGCGATCTTAGCGCTACGACTATTGTAAGCCTACGTTAAAATATGGGAGTTGCGATCATCTTAGCGCTAAGATCGCTTTGTGCAAGTGGGCCCTGGTTTTAATGAGGTTGGCCAACAAGGACAAATCATGAACACAGCACTCAGCAATATTCCAGCTGTATCACTACTACCTGTCAATAATTGAGTTTGGACCCAATAAACCAGTGATTGATAGCACGAGCACTGATCGATGCCATTTGAGCATGATGAGTGAGTGAGTGAGTGAGTATGGTTTTACGCCGCTTTTAGCAATATTCCAGCAATATCACGGCGGGGGACACCAGAAATGGGCTTCACACAATGTACCCATGTCGGGAATCGAACCCGGGTCTCCAGCGTGACGAGCGAACGCTTTAACCACTAGGCTACCCGACCGCCCCTGAGAACGATGAGCCATGTCACCCAGCTGGGCCTCCATAACCACTGCAAACAACAACCAAACATCACTGGACACTCGGGCTGGGACCTGTCCAAATTTACTACCTGGGTGCCCGACACCCTATTACCCGGCCCTACCCGGAACACCCGCTATAGGTCTCGAGAGTTGGGTAAAAAATGTCCGAATGGGAATTGTTTTACCGCAGCCCTGGCAAAAACTATTTATATACATGTATACAGTACAGTTGATAGACGCTTTATCCTTACTCGAACATATCAAAGTCAGAACGAACGCCTGCATAGTGAGAAAGAAATGTGAACATTAGCTATACTTGTAGTGTAACCATTGAGTTTTTTTGTTAATGTCATTAAACAGTATGTCACGTGACTAACCACGGGTCCGGGTATTCATGTGGGTACACAGGTCCTACTCAGGACCCGAGTACCCGAGTTACCCGTCCCAGTCCTACCGGACACCTCATCGCCTCCGAGGTTTAGTGGATGCAACATCTGCCCGTAGAGCGGGATCGGTAGTTCCATTCCCTTGATGCATCATACAAAAAGACATGAAAAAAAGGTACTTGTTGTTACCCTGCCTGGCGCTCGACATAAAGGGGATAAAACAAGGACTGGTCGGCTCGGAGTCAGTATACTGTGTCTGAGTGGGGTATCCATGTTAAACTGCGGCATGGTATCTCAGTGGGCTAGCACTATAAAACCAGGATACATCCAGGCTAGTACAAGCAGCAACACACATGCATGGATGTCACTGTATCAAGTGCACTTTAAACCTTGTATCACGTCACCTCACCTCACCTCACCTCACCTCACCTCAGGCCTCAAAGTTTAAATTTTTTCCAAGTACCAATTTTTTACCATTTTGCCATATGGCTACAAGTTTTTTTTCCAGGTAGCCAGTGGTAAAATCAAGAAGTCAAGCCAATATTGTAGGTAGCTAAAAGCATTTGAAATGATTTTTTATCCATTTACTATTATATGTACAAGTCATAGCACTAGTCTTGGAATTGTTTATTAGTGGAAACTGTACTTGAGTTTTGTTATTTGTGACTCGAACAATGATGCAATTTATGTTACAAATTATATAGGTATATCCTTGCTTATCCACTAAACTATTAACTAAAATAAAATACCAATTACATTAATATTTATATATTTAGGTTCATTGTTGACTTTAGGAGGAATTAGTTGTGAGTACAATTAGTAGCAGACATATTTTTGTCTCTACATATGTGTAGCAATAGAATTTTGTCAGCGCAAGATATTTTTCAAGGTAGTCATTTGGCTTCCCCTGAATTTTAGACAGTAAACAAATTGAAATTTAGGTCGCATTGGCGACCGTTTTAGTCGCGATTATGAGGCCTGATCCTTGAATCCCCATAATGCTAAATCTGTTCTAAAAGTATTATATTAAAAAAATATCTTGTTTTCCACTTTTCTCAGATGATGATAATTGGCCTAAAGTTAAAAATATATCAATAAAAATTCCCAAAAATTTGAATGAAAAATTGCCAAGGCATGTTACAGTATTCGAAGTAATAAGCGCCCAGGGCACTCTCAAAATTACAAAATAGGGGGCACTTATTGAAATATTATTTTGGTGAAAAAAAACCAGTGTTGAAAGAAACATTTCGTGGTTTATGCTGACGGCTGGAACTGTTTATATATGACAGATATATTTTTCCAGAATTTAATTTCCCATAATTAAGGATGCATATAACACATGTATTATACGAGAATAAATAAGTCTTGTGCACATTGATCAATTGGAAGGGGTGCTAATTGGGATTGTTCACTAGCCAATATATTAGCAAATATCGCCTTGTGCGCTTATTAAGGCGAATACGGTATATACTTTGCAGAGATGATTTCACTGGCAACAGGACCAATAAACAAAAAGAGGCTCTGATGTATTATTTTAAATTTTGTCCGTCAGTTTGGACGCACGATAAATCTCTGCACAGATTGCTGAGATACCTACCCAGGAGGTAGGGAGCTCATCGCTGCCGGTCGTCTAGTTTGTCACACAGTCCCTCATGTTACAACGTCCAATGTATTCAACCTGAAATAAGATGTGTTTGTTTGTTATTTGACGCCATATTCAGTAATATTCAACTGTAGGATGAAGTCAAGTCTGGACCAGATAATCCAGCGATTAGCATCATGAGCAACGAGTCACCAAGTCAGCGAGCCTGACCCCCCCAATCCGGTTAGTTGCCTCTTACGGCAAGTATGGTTTGTGATTCTAAACTAGATTTTCACGGGGAATCTGAAATAATAAAAGTTGCAGTTTTTAAAAAATATATATACAAAACTTACCCACTATTTTTGTTTTGAAACGAAAGCCTTGTTCAAGCCCTATGCAATTCTTAACCCGCAGGTAAATTTCGTCATGAAATTGATATTCACCCCATGGCAAATATTTGCCCTATCCTATTTCTACATTTTCGCAAATGATCACTAAAGGTATAGTGTGATTATAGGGCAGACATCTTTGTGATCTGTGCAAATTCATGCGTTATTTCTGTTTTTCCAATTTATTCCAAGTTATTATCTTGGCTATCTGTGTACTGCCTTTGAGTTGAAATGAATAACATTATATACTACTCAAAATAAGTTAAAGAACACCCAATTCTTTCATATTACTATAGTTAATCTCACATGCCAAGACAGATTAACTATAGTAATATGAAAGAATCCGGTGTTCTTTAACTTCTATTGAATAGTATATAAATATTTTATAGTATATAAATATGATACAGCTTGTAGAACTAAAAATGTGTACTTTTCTCACAGTAGACAGAAAAAACATGTTGAGAAATTAAAAACTTCTTTAACAATCTTTGGAAGACTACAGATAATGCACATAGGTCCAACATTTATCAATACGCAATTATTGTGCTTCAAAACAACATCTAAGTTGAACTTGCTTGATTACAAAAGCTCCTGATTAGCAAATGTGAAAATACTGCTTGAATGACGGGACCCAAACCGCTTGACGTGCATTTCTGCCGAACAATGACAATTCAAACCCGGAAATTCATCATCTTAAACTGTATTTGGACAGAGCACCTGTCTTGACATGCTCAGTGTGGATTTTTTTTAATTCGATCACATTTGCGCGATGGACCAAATGCATATTCCTAAGATCGGTCTAACCATAAGTTGCATGAATAATTTAGCAACAGTTACTATGACAAAGTATTTGGCATTACTTTGAACAAGTGAAGTAGCCGTTCGATGACGAGACGAAGAGAGTGTCGAAACCGAAACAAGCACTTGATCGCAAACACTCGACTGTCATTCATAAACGATAAGCATAATTGTTCATCCATCATGAGAGAGTTGCGATATTTCATTGCAAATTAATGGAACATGTCCGTAATACCTACCGATCAACAAAATGTACATTTTCTCCAGTGCTTCTGCAGACGCTGTCACACCCAGCATTCGTTGCGTGGGGGAAGAGGGGAATCACCTAAAACTATGCTCTGTCTCTTATTGATAAGAACCGGAGCGCAAAGATGGTTAAGAACTAGTAAACATGACTTATATAAAAGTTAGATTGTGGTACGAATACGGATTGTTATAATGATTTTTATTTAGTCATACGGGAATAATTATAACAAAAAAAGAAGTATATTAATGATCCTAACACTGAAATAATATACTGGGTGTTGAATTGAATACCTTCAAATGATATGGAGTAGGCGAATTCTAAAATGTGAGCGCATTATGTTGTGGCACATTTTGTATGACAAGTAATGATTTATTACAAATGAGCTTATACAGTACAGGAATGGTTATACTTATAGTCTTATATGGACATTTACAAATTTTACGAATATGAAAATATTCCATTCAATTTCATACGTTGAATGCCATCGTGTTTTGTGTTTTTTTTACAGAGCTGTTCTGAGACTATCGTTCGCTGGTTACTGTTCCATTCAGACCCCTTTCCCGATTCCGAGTGGGATGAGACGGTGATGTTACTGTTAACCCTTTAGCGCCTCGCAGGCAGCTTGGCTGAAAATCGAGCGCAAATCGAGGAAGGGCTGGGATTTTATCAAGAAAAATATATTGTTCCCGAATTTAAAAAGAAAAAATAATTATGCTTCAGACTGTTGAAATTGAAAACACAATTTATTGCCTGCCACAAATATCACATTGTTGCAGCTATTTTTCAGGCTCATAGGTTTAAATAGTATTAACAACAAAATAAATACATGCTCATAATCATTTATTCACAACTTTAAATTCTCATATTCTGGAATAGCACTATTTTCACACAATAAATAAAATTGATTTCGTATCGATTTTTTTCAGCCACAACTACAAAAGCAGATACTTGCAGTAAAAGATGACTATGCTTGTCGTAAAAGGCGACTAACGGGATCAGGTGGTCAGGCTCGCTGATTTAGTTGATGCATGTCATCGATCCCAATTGCGTGGATCGATGCTCATGATATTAATCACTGGATTGTCTTGTCCAGACTCGATTATTTACAGACCGCCGTCATATAGCTGGAATATTGCTGAGTGCGGCGTTAAACAACCAACCAACCAATTAACCTATATTTTTGTTTGTTTGTTGTTTTAACGCCGCTCTCAGCAATATTCCACCTATATATGACAGTTGCCTGTAAATAATTAAGTCAAACGAGTGACTGACATCATGAGCATCAATCCACTCAATTAGGATACGATGACATGCAATCAACGAATCCTGACCATCCGATCCTTTTATTCGCCTCTTATGACAAGCATAGGTTGCTGGGGACTCACGGGCACGACGTGTCCCAAAGCTACCAGGATCACCCCTCCAGTATTGTGTTCCAAAGAGACCAATGTCACCCCTACCGTTTTATTTCCCCCAAACCCCAGTGTCACCTCTCTAGTATTGTGTTCCAAAGAGACTAATGTCACCTCTACCGTTTTATTTCCCCCAAACCCCAGTGTCACCTCTCCAGTATGTGTTCCAAAGAGACTAATGTCACCTTTGTAGTATTTATTGTATTCCAAAGGCTACAATGTCTCGTTTCCATTATTGTGTTCCAAACGACTCCAGTGCCACCGCTACAGTAATTTTCGAAGGACAATTTTTCACACAGCCAATAATGCCAACCAAAGTCTTCACTAATGTCATACCACCAGAGTTCGAATCCGTTATGGCTGCAGCACATCCCACTCTCCCAGTGACCGCCTCCGTGGTCTAGTGGTAGAGCGTCCGCCCGGAGAGCGGAAGGTCCGGGGTTCGATCCCCGGCCGCGTCATACCAAAAGACGTTAAAAGATGGTACTTGTTGGTACCCTGTCTGGCGCTCGGCATTAAGGGGCTAAAACAAGGACTGGTCGGCTCGGAGTCAGTATACTGTGTCTGAGTGGGGTATTCATGTTAAATTGCGGCATGGTATCTCAGTGGGCTAGCACTATTAATCGGCATCAGTCCGGACTAGTACAAGCAGCCACACAAACACACACACATACATGCACGTCGCTATATAAGTGCAATAATCTTGGACGCGACGTTAAACCCCATTTCACCTCATCCCACCCACCTAACCAGTTTGTTTTTACAAGATGTCTTAAACACATAAAAAACAAAGTTTACCACAGTAATGAACACAAGGCAATACGTTGAAAGCATCAACATATTCTACTGTGTGGCCTGCTTTGCCTACGTGGTTGATTTTGAAACTGGGTTTATCGCTATGTTTTAATAGCTTCGTCACATTTCCCGGCATCGATGACGGAGAAACTGATAAGCATGGTGAAACTTGGCCACTTGGTGAAACGCACGAGCACGTGTACGATGAGACGAACACGTGTATTGTGAGACGAGCACGTGTATGGTGAGACAGGAACGCGAATGGTGAGACGAGCACGTGTATGGTGAGACGAGCACGTGAATGGTTAGACAAGAACGCGAATGGTGAGATGAGCACGTGAATTTGAGACGAGCACGTGTATGGTGAGACGAGCACGTGAATGGTGAGACGAACACGTGTATGGTGAGACAAGCATGTGAATGGTGAGACGAGCACGTGAATGGTGAAAGATATACTAATAATACATCATTTCTCAGAATGTTAGTCTTACACCGCTGTAAGTAATATTCCAGCAACATGGTGACGGAATACTAAAAGTAGGATGTACACACTGTACCACGCGGGGATTCGAACCCAGTCTTCAGCGTGACGAGACACCGCTCATAGTTAAGAGATGGTCCATGGAGTTGTCTCCCTTCAAACGACTATGAATGCATCGTTCTTCAAGCTCTACCAAGAAGCCGTTTTCCGATTATTGAGGTACCAGGCCATATTGGAGGCCTGAAAGTTTTAATAAAAACATTTCTCCATGCATAGCCCAATCAGACACAGTCAACTGACTCCTAGCCGACCAGTCTTTACCTTCGTCCCTTAATAACGAGCGTCTTTTGGCATGACGCGGCCGGGGATCGAACCATCAACCTTCCGCTCTCACTTTTCCCGGCAACGTTCAATAGAGGCTCACTTCAGTCTAGACGTCGAAATCAATGCAATGTGTGAAATAGGAATTATATCTGTCTTAAAGTAACCATAAATTACAAGATTGATGACATACTGAAATATTCATAAAAATATAAATAATCAAACATTTGAGCGATAGGACAATGGGTTTTTTAAATGACTTGATCAAAACATTTGCTTCAACTGCAAATTTTCCTAACCAGTTAGGACCGCCTCCGTGGTCTATTGGTAGAGCGTCCGCCTGGAGAGCGGAAGGTCCGGGGTTCGATCCCCGGCCGCGTCATACTCATAGACGTTACAAAATGGTACTTGTTGTTACCCTGTCTGGCGCTCGGCATTAAGGGGCTAAAACAAGGACTGGTCGGCTCGGAGTCAGTATACTGTGTCTGAGTGGGGTTTTCATGTTAAACTGAATCTGGGATCTCAGTGGGGTAGCACTATAAATCGGCATCAGTCCGGACTAGTACAAGCAGCCACACAAACACACACACACGTACATGCACGTCGCTATAAGTGCAATAATCTTGGACGCGACGTTAAACCCCATTTCACCTCACCTCACCCACCTAACCAGTTTGTCTTTACAAGAATAAATGTCTTAAACACATAAAAAACAAAGTTTACCACAGTAATGAACACAAGGAAATACGTTGAAAGCATCAACAAATTCTACTGTGGCCTGCTTTGCCTACGTGGTTGATTTTGAAACTGGGCTTATCGCTATGTTTTAAAAGCTTCGTCACATTTCCCGGCATCGATGACGGAGAAACTGATAAACATGGTAAAACTTGGCCACTTGGTGAAACGCACGAGCACGTGTAAGATGAGACGAACACGTGTATTGTGAGACGAGCACGTGTATGGTGAGACAAGCACGCGAATGGTGAGACGAGCACGTGTATGGTGAGACGAGCACGTGTATGGTGAGACAAGCACGTGAATGGTGAGACGAGCACGTGAATGGTGAAAGATATACTAATAATACAACTTTTCTCTGAATGTTAGTCTTACACCGCTGTAAGAAATATTCCAGCAACATGGTGAAGGAATACCAACAGTAGGATGTGCACACTGTACCACGTGGGGATTCGAACCCGGTCTTCGACGTGACGAGACTCCGCTCATAGTTAAGAGATGGTCCATGGAGTTGTCTCCCTTCAATCGACCATGAATGCATCGTTCTTCAAGCTCTTACCAAGAAGCCGTTTTCCGATTATTGAGGTACCAGGCCATATGGGAGGCCTTAAAGTTTAAATTAAAAAAATTCTCGTAAATATAAAATTCTGTAAATAAAATTGCAAAACAATAATGCCATCAAAATATATTTACCGTTAGGATGGATCATTTACATATGTATTATTCATAATGCCACGTATGACATTTCACATTTCAGATTCTCAAAGGTAAACGTTGTTGTGCTACTTGTATATAGCTCTAAAAGTTTGCAATACATTCTATATTTGGACCGACCATTACGTCATTGTTTCAAGACATTCCCCCTTTTTTTTAAAAGGAGACAAGGAGTCATTTTTTTCCGGATATTCAGTATGCCCAGTGCCTTTTTTTGGTAAAACCTGAGGCCAAATATTTTTATCAGCGTTTACTGGAACAATTTCTTTCAAATACCAACCCTGCGAATGGCAGTGATCGCTCCATACGCATAACGTAAAGCATCCTCTTGTAGGCCAAAGAGTGTTATATGGCAGTGTATTTGATTGTTTTACAATGATTGTAGCTGCGTTACATTGTTTCTGTTGAGATTCGGTAGACGCTCATTGCATTGTGTTTGGACAGTGATCAGTCGCCAGGAATATATTAGATGTAAGTGTGGTGTGTAAACTTCCGGTCCGGTATAACGCGGACGGTGATAGTATTATATAGAAACATGTGGAATGTTCCAGTGCCGTTAGACTGTTCAGGGCACTGTGTAGAAATTTCCAGTATCTGGTTAGTCTGAATATATTGTTGAACAAGAGCATGTTTAGGGATCTCTCGCACA